GGAACGAAACTCCCAGCTAGTTTGTGTGGTGAGAGCAACACCTGCGTATATGAGGGGAACCCACAGCTGAAGTGTGTTTATTTTTGTCAACTTACTAATGTGCTGCCTTTTCTCACATCCTCTAAACGCTCCAACACCTCTGCCAGACTTGGATCATCAGAGTCAACAAACCATATCGGGGGTGTTGAGGGATATGATTCCTGTGGCAACAAAGAGAAATTACATTTTAGTAAAACTTGTAGGCCTTTACCTTTGTTGTCTTTTACCCAAAAGGAATTGGTTCCCGCACAGAAAGCCACTAGCAATCACAAAAATGATTTGGTTTCTGCCTTTGCTGTGACGGTATATGCAGCAAGTGATGAATGATTTTAAATGGTAATACACAGCTTGAGCATGTGTTGAACTTCTTTCTACATGAGGAATACTTCAGAGATACGACAAGTTGAATGCGCTGACACACACCTCAGTAGTACTAACCAACACACAACCATGGTTCTGCATTTGTGACAGGAGGATAGCAGCAAAATTAAGGTAAATTTATAAGAGACCTGATATAACATATATATTCAGAGAAAATCTAAAAAACAGGAAAGTGAGCTGAAGGTGAAAAAGGATAGTGACGTTTTCATTGGAATTGTCCAGAATGGACATGACAAGGAGGGAGGTACTAAAGATGAGATGAAGCAAATAGTGAAGAATTAAATGTTCTAGTAAGAAGAATATAACAAATCAATGCACTTATCATATGAATTTATATTTATAATTTAACATTTATAGTTGCCCCTACTGTGTAGGGAGAAGGTTTAAGGCATGTTTGTGTCCAAGCCCTCTCAAAGTATTACATCTTTATAATCTTTCACTAGGTAATATGGAAACACAGACTAATGTTGGGCCCATGATGTCACTTGGCAAATGCAGGGGTACAAAAGACCACAGAATAGGACAGAGCATGGGATTTGAAATGGTATCAAAAACTTTTGCACCATTTCTCTCTTTTTAAAATTATTTTAAAACTGCACTCTGTTTGACAAACAAGGTCCCATTGGGAAAATAAATGGAGCCAATTATAGTTCCCAGTTTAAGCTAGGCTATGCTAACACTTCTTTAAGTTTGGATGGCAATCACGTATCCTTGGTTTGACACCGAGCTACTGGTTTTATTTTCTACTGGTAAATAAGTCTACTTAAAAACGTAATCACCTATGCTGACAAACATTAATTTTCATTGGCGCTTAAATGAGACTGACAGTATTGCATAGCATTTTGTTTGTTTGTTTTTATTCATGCTCACCTCCCATATTTTTTCTGGAGGTCTGCAATTTGTACATCTTAATCCAGAATAGGTAGGTTGAAAAGGTTTTCAATTACGTTATTTTAGAACGTTCATTTACTGGAGTCCTACTGGACTAGGTATTTATACCATCACTGCATTAGAGACACAAAGAGCGACACAAGTCACTTTTTAGTGAATCTATAGGATCCGTCTATTTGTTGAAAAGAAAGAAAACTGAAGCGCTTTGCATTCCACGAAAATGCGTGTATTTGCTGTTAAAATGCGAACGGTGTCACTCACATGTACGTATGATTTGTGAAATTTATTTAAATTATAAATACAGTGTAGAGAAACCATATTTGCACCTGAGCTAACCACATCCACGGTGTAACAGAGATTATAAAAGTTGGAATCCGCAGCGCTGCGAACTGTAACGCAGTTATTTGAGCTAATAGGCTAACGTTACTTTGAGTGGAGCGGCTAGCAGAAAAGGCTACCGCATCGTCGTTACACTCCTTGACGTTGTATTTTATATTTTATTCAGACTACATCAAACTCTGAAGCAGTCGTGTTCCATTTGAGCTGTTTGACCATTTAATCAGTGTAAAACCACACACTGAGTCATACGCAGACAGAAGACGGGAGTTGATGAGTAAACCGGGAAGCTGTGGCGGACTGATTTGTTTTCAGTGCATAGTCAGTGGCCGCTGCTGGCTTTGCTACCGGCCTGCTGCCGCTGCACTCACCGTGATGTTGCAGTGGATGATCAGCGGCTTCTCTCCCGTCACGTTGAACTGGCAGCTCAGCTCATCCGGTTTCCACTCTATGATTCTAAATCGCTCGTGGTTCGGGTGAAAGATTGACACCAGAAACTTCAGCTCGGCCTTCAGCCCCGACACCGACATCTTCAGCTCATCTCAGAAAGCACCAGCAGGCCGCTGCTCGCAGAGGGGAAGTCGGGGCGGAGTGCGAGCGCGCGGTGGAGTCGGTGCGCGGATCTGGCACGTTAGCGTGAGAACGAAAACAAAGAGGCTGGAGCTCTGGAGAAGGGAGAGGGGACAGAGACAGGGACAGAGACAGAGTGGCACTTCACTTTATCTCTATTCTTTATTTAATAAATGAATGCTTGCTTACTTTTTGCACCCTTTTCTTTATTGCACTTTTGCCCCTTTCTATCGTTTATGTCCCTTTTTCTAATTTCTGTTATTTTCCTATTTGTTGTTGCAGTTTCATAAGGAATACATTTTGATCCATTTTCATTTCCCACTGCCTTGTTTATGTTTTCTTTTTCGATTTGTGCTTTTCTGACCTGTTATGGCTCCTTTTTTACATTTCGTATCCTTAAAGGATATTTCCTGCACAAGACAGAAAACATAGACGTTCTGAGGTATTATGTTTTGTTTTTGTTAAGGGTGATGATCACTTTTTTCACTTTCTGAAAGTTTATCCACGATTTTTGTATAGTTTAACAACTTCCACTGGCCCTGTTTAAAAAAAACACATCTTTGTCCTTTTTAACGTTTTGCTAAATTTTCTGCAATGAAATTCCTTTTCTAATTTGTGTTCTAATCCCAGTTTAGCAACTCTAGCTTTTTGTCACTTTTTTATAATTTACTTTTTAAAACCCCACACACATTTACTTTTTGTACTTTTTTATTTTTGCCTTTCTTATTTTATCTTCTTTTCAAATTTCTGCTCATCTTATCTCCCCTCTTGTACCTATTGTCTCTCTGTCCTTGTCCTTTGGCCCTTTTCCCTCTTTTTGTATATCAACATAATAATTTCAACTGCATTTCTCAAAAGAAAAAAGTGATCATTTATTTCCCCATAGAGTTCAGGAACAAGAAAAATCTCCAAATAATTAAAGAAAAGCGAACCATTCCATAACTTGCAATTTCATTGTTCTCCTTGCTTCTCATCAGTGGGTGTTAAAAGTTACACACCCATTTAATTCATAAAAAACAGAAATATCTCGGGGACATTGTTTTACAACACAAAAATCTGGCGTGTGTAAATTGTACATGCATGTGCACCTGCACACATAGGTTACATACAATTCATCTTTCAAAACTGATGACGACAGACAACATGCCTCCTACAATGCAGACAGCAGCTCAGTGAAGGTCAGGATAGATGGTCTGGGGTGGTCAGTGGGGCTGTCCAACAATTTCCCAATGGTGGCCATGATCAACAATAGCCACCACCTAGGGACGCATCTACTGCCTGTATCTTAACCTAAAATACTAATATATTTGTTTATGTTGGTATCTTGGTTACAGTTTGGTAGCACCAGAAGACAAGTAAATTGAATTAATATATTTTTTAAACATTTCACAAATACTATGTATAATATGTTTGCATTTGAATATATGGCGGTTCCTGTGAAAAAATATCATGACATCATTATTAATGTGACATTAACGACATTAAGTATGTGTGACTTGTAGAGAATATCACAAATTACGTGCAATGTTTCAACACTAGAGGGCGCACAAAGCCTGTTTCATTGGACCATGACCAGCTATGAACTCCTTTATAGTGCCTGGAGCAGGAAACAGATATTACAACTGGACTCGTATCTGCAGCACAAACAGATCACGGCCTGCGTAACGACGGTGGACTTGAAAATACTTTTTCTATTCCTTCTTCTGTACACGTGGAGCTGGGTGAGTGTTTTACATAACTTAAGAGAGAATAACAGGAAGTAATGTATAAAAGTACTGTTTGTCATGAGGGACAGAGGAAAAACTAAGCGTGTTTAATTCATTTTTGTGTTTAGATAGTGTGGTTGAAACAAGATGGTTTTAGATTTTACCTGCTTGAAAATGTTATTTAAGATCTGGTGTGACTTTACAAGAATGCAAATGTATTCATTCTCCATTCTGTAACAAGTTCCTTTGAACTAAAGACCATTTGTCTGACGTTTCCTTATTCTATTTAAACCCCCAAAGGAACTAAGACTGTACATAATATGGTTTTAAAACAAGGTGATTATTAACCTTTTAATCAGTTTTAAAGGTAAAGTAGCAAAAAGTAATGGTGAGCAAAGTTCATTTTGCTCGTCCTTCCTCCTCGTCAGGTAATGCTATGACAATCTAAGACCTGACCCAATGTTATTGTTCTTGCATATACCAGAACGGTAGAATGCTGACGATAAGTGATTGCCAGCTGGATACAAGATATTAACTTTAATTTGGTAAGGGTACGTTTGGTAAAGGTAAATGCTCATTGTGATTTATTTAATTTGCTCATTTAATGTACACATTTATTAACCACATTATTTAGAATAGCCTGAGATGATGCAATGGCCTAGGGAATAAAATGATACCGCAAAATGATGCATAACCATATGCTGCAAGTGGAGCAAGCAAAAAAGACTTTGCTTAAAGACTTTGCTTCATTCTGTCCGTCTGTCTAATTTTTCATCACCTGTCAAACCGTAGTTGAAATGTGTCATAAAGTGTAAAGTAACTTTTTGATCATGTGTTATAGTGTCTGTAAATATGACTTGTTGACTGACACGTTTGTCTTTTCAAGGTCTGAGGATCATCAACATGAAAGTTTCACCTATATATTTGTTTGCCTTTAGTCTCCTCTTTGTGCAAATACCATGTGGGGAAATGGGGAAAATACTAGTATTCCCATTGGATGGAAGTCATTGGGTAAACATGAAAATACTAGTGGAGGAACTGCATGGGAAGGGCCACGAGATCACCGTGGTTCGGACGTCAGATAGCTGGTACATCAGTGAAGAGTCTCCCTTCTACACTTCTTTAACACTTCTGGTCAACACTGGCTTTGAGGAAACATTTAAAACATACATGTCTACACAGCTAGAGATTCTGTATCAGGCCAAGTCAACATCCATGTGGTCTCACAGCTTTAATGCTCTTAAGCTGAGGCAGGTGATGCTGAAGCAGTTTAACGAGATGCATAGGAGAATGAGTGAAATGATCATTCATATGTTTGAAGACAAGAACTTCATGCGTTCCCTACAAGATGCCAAATATGATGTTGTTCTGACTGACCCAGGGATTGGTGGAGGAGCTATGCTGGCACGATGGCTCAAAGTTCCCCTGGTATACAATGTCAGGTGGACCATCCAAGGAGAAGCTCATTTACTTCTTGCTCCTTCACCTTTGTCATATGTTCCCTTCACTGCGACAGAGCTCACAGACAAGATGACCTTCTCACAGAGAGTCTTAAATTTGTTTTCTTACGTAGTTGGGATGTACACTCTTTCATCTATCACAGACCCTTACTACAAGCCTATAGTCACGAAGTATTTAGGCCCAGATGTAGATTACACCTCACTACACCTGGATGCTGATATCTGGCTGATGAGGACTGATTTTGTCTTCGAGTTTCCACGCCCTACAATGCCGAATATTGTCTACATTGGGGGCTTTCAGTGTAAGCCCTCAAAGCCTCTGTCCCAAGACCTGGAGAAGTTTGTCCAGAGCTCCGGAGACCATGGTGTTGTTGTGATGACCTTAGGAACCTTAATTGGAACACTTCCTCAGGCTGTGGCAGAGGAGATAGCTGCGGCCTTTGCTCAGCTTCCTCAGAAGGTCTTATGGAGATATTTAGGTCAAAGGCCAGTAAATGTGGGTAACAACACATTACTGGTAGACTGGCTACCACAGAATGACCTACTGGGACATCCCAAAACTAGAGCGTTTGTGAGCCATGGAGGCACCAACGGAGTTCAAGAAGCAATTTACCACGGAGTTCCGGTGGTTGGACTTCCACTGCTCTACGATCAGCCTGACAACCTCCTTAAAATCAAAGCGAAAGGAGGAGCAGTGACTGTGAAATTGGCCTTGCTGGACAGGCACGTCTTTAAGGAAGCGCTGATGTCAGTCCTCTACAACCCCTCTTACAGGAACAACATGCAGAGACTGTCCAGGCTGCACAGAGATAAGCCAATGAATCCACTGAGCCTGGCAGTGTTTTGGATAGAATATGTAATGAGGCATAAAGGAGCTGGTCATCTGCAGGCACAGTCCAACAACATGTCCTGGTTCATATACAACTCTGTGGACGTTATTGCAACGTTGATGACACTTGTTTTACTTGGTACATTTCTCTGTGTCTTATTTTTGAGGTTTTTGTGGAGACGGGTATTTGTGGGGAAAAGGATTAAAAGGGAATAAGTGAACAGATAGATTATTTACACGTGTACACAGCTACACGTGGCATTTAGTAAAGTCCATATTGTAGTGGATAATTAGAAATCTAAATGAAGGCTTTGTCTATAACAATTCAAACACATCAACAAGCTGCCCACTGTTCACTTTGGTGATGGGTTAAAAGCAGAAGTCACATTTCGTTATGTGTTGTGACACAATGACAAGTAGCAAAAAAAAAAAAAGGCTTAACGGTAACTGTCAAAAATGACAGCTCGTTCAAATGTTTGATTTTGGAAACCCCAGGGTTTGTACTGTAGGGGGCAGCATTATGTTGCGTCAATAGCCATTCCACGTTTATATTACACGCTGGTTTGTTGAAACTACAATGCCAGTATTAAAATTTGCATTTTAGCATTAAGTGAGAAAAAAAACTGATAATCTTTATAAATAGAAATGTATAAATATGTATATGTTATAGACAATTTTTAATTATTTAAACTTCAGTGCAATCAGAATGACAATGGTTCAAATTGAAGATGAAATACAAAATTAAAAAGCCAATTGAAAAGTTAGGTGTGTCTGTACAATAATCGACTTCGCTCATCAAAGTAGCCTGAGTTATCAAAGGTATTTTGCTTTCTTGTTACCATTTTTACTGTAAGAATGACTTATTTTAATTTCAGAGTTGGTGCCTTATTACATAGTCCCTGTGACTGTTACTGTGGTCATTGTTTGACATTGGCTTTTGTATAATCTAATAAAGTGAAACAACATGGTGTGTTGATTTACCTCACCTCATTACTTCATGCTGCCAACATAGTTGTGTGAAATAAAGTCTGAAGTGTCTACAACAGTAAAGCATATGAACTGGGTTAGTGTGTTTGACAGTAGGTGTGAGGAGGCCAATTGCCTACTATGTTACTTTGCAGAAAATAGGATTACAGCACTGCCTAAAGCTGAAGAGGTCAGGGCTTAGTCAGCCTGAGAGACTGCTGGTGCCAAGATGCTATTTAAGGCCTGGTGTATGTTAGTGAAGTTAGTGAAGAGTTCTGTTGGCTGTGAATTCAATATGGAAAAAACTGCTGAATTGTTGGGATGGGTCATGATTTAATTTATATCTTCTTTATCAGTTATTTCTGATGAAATATGGATCAAATGAAACCTTGAATCAAAAATATCAGCACACATTGGTTACAACTCATACAATACTTCCTTATTTGTTTCTTCAAATTATTTTTCTCAGGCCCCATTTTCATATCAATACTGACCAATATTGAAGCATAGTGAGCATAAATGGCATTTTGCTTTATATATGGCCCTGAGTTGGAGTGCTGAATTGTCCAGGGTCTACCCTGCCCTAGCCCATTGGCAGCTGGGATTGGGTCCAGTGATTGCTGGATGAATAATATTTATATATATATACAGTATATACCATATTATTATATACAGTATCATATTGATATTAGTACTTCATTTATTAGTACCATGTAGAATAGTAGAATAGAATGTGTAGAGTGTAAACAGGAATGTTTTTCAAGAGGCAGAGCTCACACAACTTATCCAAAACTATCACTCCATCACAGCCCTATTTGTATGTACAATTCAGCACTTACCGTCTCAAACAATATTAAGTCGAGCTTTTGAGGTTGTCATTATGATTCCTGTCAGTCAGGTCTTTTCCTTTTCTGACTGTTAAACACTTCAATAGCTGTAACGCTTGCCTTTTGTTTACCCTTTGATCCTTTTGTGTCTTTACAAGTCTTTACTAAATCAGTGTTTCCCAACTGTTTTTGTGCCGCAGCACGTATTTTTCCATTAGGAAATCCCCAGGGCACATGACCAAACCAAAACATAACAAAAGGTATATGAAATATAATAACCTTCTATTTTAAATATACTTACAATTCACTAAAATCTCAGTTGAAGACAACGCTGGTATACTCGCAGGAATTGAAGAAAGATACTCACAAAGATCTATAACAGTTCTGATTGTCTTTTTTATTTTTATGGCCATTTGCTGCCACCTAGTGGAATGGCATTTAATTGTTCTGCATGTCACGCATTGACAAACGAAGAACCATTATTCGCAAGGTATACTTTTTTTTTTAGACCAATTAAGTGAAATTAGATAATTTTCTGCGGCACATCGAATGACATCTCACGACACACTAGTGGGCCACGACACAGTGGTTGAGAATCACTGCTCTAAATGTTAAATGCTATCCTGCTAATACAAACCTGTGGGGGCTGACCACACATCAGAGGAGGTGTAATGGGATGAAGAAGAAAGGCAGTGTTGGACAACATCTAAACTAGCTCACTAACACGAGAAGGCATGTATGATTGTTAAAAGTGCTCATGGCCATGTGTCCTGTCATGAATTTTATATGATCAATTTTGCAACTTGAAACTGAAATTATAATATGTTATAATTTTGTGGTAATGCAGGTGTACTTGTGTGTAAATGTGTATGCAGCGTGTGTGTGTGTGCGCACCATAAACACACCAGCAAAATTAAAGGGGGATTGATTTTAATTGCCCCCCCAGGGGACTCCCCACCTGGAGGGGGGGGGGTTGGTACGGGGCAATGTGATTTGGGTGGCAACTGCTGCCCCCGCGACCCGGTAACTGATAAGCGGATGAAAATGGATGGATGATTTTATAATATTTTTTCAGGAAATGTATCAATGATTTAATAATTCTAAATTAATGTAATTTTATTGCATCCCATAGGTATAACAAAATATTCAATAATCTTTGTCGTTATTTCTTTAATTTAAAGGAATTTAAAAGACTCGAATTGACTTGTCAGGAGCCAAGATCCAAGATCTCGCGGGATTTGGGATTAAAGCGGGGGTTAAATAGGAGGTTTCCTCCTCGTCGCTTGTGTACCGGCCTGTCACAGGTAGGGGCTGCAGCACTTCTCCTCACTCCCGCTAGTCTGCCCAGCGACATTTCCTCTGCTGCCTGACACCACCGGAGTGTGTGGCAGTGCCGGACCAACCCCCGCCGCAGCAGCACCAGGGTTACCTCACAGCTCGATCACACCGGCATTTTTCCATTTTCCTCCTCCGAAGATGACCGCAGGGAAACGGGGAGCAGTCATGTCCTTCTCTCTGGCGATCCTCGGAGCTGTGATGCTGCAGACCGTCTCCTCTCAGAACGGTAGGAAAGCAGCTGTGCTCACCGTTATTGTAGGATGGCTGTCTCGTCGTCTTTGCGAAAACGAGTCTTTGACTGCGTTTCTTTCATTTAAAGCGAAATTCTTCCAAGATGTCTGTAGTCATTAAGGAGTCTGCCCGGCAGGAATATCTCTGCAGCAGCCGAGTGTCATCACATAATCCACATCACTGCACTACAGCAGTAACCGAGCGCACTTATTTACCGTCATCTTTTCTTATCTTTGCTCTCATTGCATTTGAAATGCACGGTCGATAAATCATTAATGGGCTGCAATCCGCATTAGTTAGGTTGAAGTGGGCCACACACGGAGCAAAGGCCTGTGCGACGTCCCTAAAACGTCCTTTAAAGTATGTGAGCTGAATACTGAGGAGAGACGGGAGCAAGGACAAGTTTGGTTCAGTGGGCTGCAGGCACCATGCTGAAGTTAAAGCTGTCATATAGTCTTCCACACACACACACACACATATACACACAGACACTGCATTGCCTCTTATTAATTTAACACCCAATCAAATCTTCCGTTGAAACCACAACCATTGAATGGCTGAACCAAACCACAGGACAGTTCAAATCTTTATTTTGAAATACTATTAGGATTGGATTACTGATGCACCAAGATGTATTTTTTAACTGGCAATTCTGGCCACTGATCCTTTTTGGGCTCCTCTTTGGAACAGCGTTGCACTACACTGACTCCAGCCATCTGTTGCCCTTAGTGAATTCCAGGGGCAAGACCATATGCCAGTACTCCTCTGGTTTTGGTCTCAATACCCAATGTCAGGTCATTGCAGAGATAATGATGTCTGTTTTGGAAATTATCACCACATCATGTTATATAATAAATGATTAGGTAAATGTTACCTTTATGTTTTGCTGAAGTGGATGAAATCTGTGGCTCCTGGTTGATCTCCGATACAGGTGGCATGTGTTCACTGCAGTGAAGCCCAACATGTTTAGTGGCAGACGTCACTCGGTGGGACACCGGCTATGTTCTTCAAGAAAGAAAAAAAAAGAACATATTTCGTCCTCTTACCTACATTCATAACTGTGTTTAGCTTGACAGAACAAGTATTTATGATCATGTTCTTTGGTGGTTATTAAAATTCACTGATTGTTTTCTTAAACAGTTACATTTTTAGTCTAAACTGGCTGACTTCAAATTGTATAAGAAACAAGAACCAGGCCAGTTGTAACAGGACTAAATAAGAATAACTGGGCCTGGGACAAAATGAGGTCTGTAGGAGTATCTATACTATATTAGGAACCTCATGTGCCCACTTGATTTATCTCTCACTTAGTGAACACTCTCGTCTTATCTTAACCATGTCACTGGATGCTAAAACACTGCCAAAACTGTGAACCTTTATCAACTAAACGGAATCATATGGCCTTAAACATGATCATTAAAACCCAATGTTGATTCTTAAAACTCTAAATCTGCCCTGGGAACTACGCACAACCAGAACATCATGCAAAATACAAACTCTTGTCTATTGTAAACCCATCTCATTTCCTAACTGGGAACCTGAACCAGTTCTGAAGACCAACAGAAACTGAGACCTGCATCCTTATTGGTCGATTTGGTATTGCAGAGTATGGGAAAACAGATGGATGGCTTTCCTGAGAGATGAGGGAAATCATCAAATATCTTAACAATCTTTATGTTAACCCAATGTATGGCTCCTCCAGGTTTTAAATTTCCCTCCCAGCCGCTCATCCTAACAGAGACATATTTACACACATACACACAGATATTCAACACACTGTCACTTGTTGGTGTGCAGAACCTGTAATTTAGTGATTATTCACCAGCAGTGTACTGCTCTCTCCTGCTGCAGGCTGGGATGATTCTCTGCATCACTCTGGCTCTTTGGGAAGGAGGATCACTGAGTGTATGCAATTAGATGTAGGACCTTGCAAGTGAAGCTCTCTAAATAGCATCAGTCCATTTTGCAGCATGCTTCTATTTTTAGAGCAGTAATGCTGCACTGGGAACTATGGCTTTAATGTCCTCCTGCAGCATTGGATCTGTTAACTCTTTGCTGAGATGTACTGCGCTGCAGAATGGCATTGATTTTTGTCAGTGTGCTTCATCTTGGCCAAATGACTCCCCGCTCATAAATCTCATCCACACCAAACACGGCAGGGCAGTGGAGCTGCCTGCCTGGCTCTGTATACACTAGAAGTGTAGCTTGTGTCTGTCTGCAGGCACTGTGTTAAAATAAATGAGATGTTTTTTCCAGCTCTGCCTCTTGCCTCAGGTTGACCATGTGTAGGATTTCATTACACCTTTCCTCCTATACTGCACTCCTACTCTTTACAGGACTTCATCAAAAAGCAACACAGTTAAAGATGTTCAGAAATATGCAGGTTACAATGTCTGTTTATGTCACACACACACGCGCAGAGTTATGTCATTGTAACTGTAGCCTCCCAGTCTTCAGTTTATAATACATTTTCACTATGAAACCTAATGTAAGATACTAGTGCACATCGCTGCCAAACACAAGAACGGACCAGTGTACTATGGTGGTGCATGTCTGAGGCAATCTCGCTTACCTTACAGTTTATAGTTAATAGAATTATAAATTCTAAGATTTATTTTATTTATGATTAGATTTATGTTGCATTATACTAGGAATGATGTTCTGAGCTTTTTGTTGGTTTTAAAGACCTTAAAAGCTCAAGGTCTTTTATTGTCTCCACCATAGTACATGATGCCATGTAGTGATTGACAAGTTGGTGGTCTGAAAACAAGACCCATTGTAAGTGATCTTTGTAACTTTATTACTAAACAGTCATTATGATTTTCAGCTGACATAGCTTGTTATAAGATGTATTTCTTTTTCTTTTCCACAACAGGAGTGCAGTATCTTTTGAACAGTAATCTATCATTATAATCTGTAAGCTATAGTCAAAGACCTGAGACATGAGTGGAATTATTCATGCAGGGACGGTAGAGTGGGCCGTAGAGACAATGTCACTGAGTCACCACAAAACACCGACTGTCCAAGGTAGAACGATTCATCTGTGTGTGATTATGCGCTGAGGTGTGGGTGAGACAGTATTTATAGTACATATATGCCCTGTACAGGACCTGATGAATCAGTCGTGGGTTGAGGAGCAGGGATGTACTGTAGTGTAAAGAGCTCTGTTTGTCCGTCCTGATGATCCGACTGGTCTGGCTGTCTGTCTTTTTCTACTTCATTGCTTCAGAGTGCTTCTATGGAAACAGGGGGGGTCTATTACTACTGTGCCCACATACTCTCTAGAGACCCAAAGCAACAGCTTCTATAAATCTCTCAATCTCATTTTCTCTCGACAGCGCCCATATGCTTATGACTGCATGTATTCCTCCCTCCATCACATTCTTCTCACCCACCTCTCGGAGCCGTGATCAATCGCTTTAGATTGTTTTTACCTCAGACAAGGACGCTTCAGTCCAGCTAAATTGACTGCACTGTCTTTCTGAAGTGCGCTAATGAATATTGTGTGAACACTTCTCTTCTCTGAGCAAATGAGTTGAGACTAAGAACTAAGGTCACGTGAAGGAGTGTTGTTCGAGAACAGCAACAACGGTGTGAGTGAGTTTTGTCCATTTCTTTCAATAGAAACCATCACAACTGTAACAGCGCTCCCAGAAGGTCAGTGGTTTGTCTGATATGATCGAGACTCTTACGTGTTTCCAGCTGTGTGTGTTTGAAGGGGGCGGGAGTGTAACTTAGGGCTGTCACTTTCACCTAAAATCAAAACTGAACAGTTATTACCCAGCATACAAAACCTTTGAAGATATTTTGAGATCTAGCCTGTCACGTTTCCTACGGAAAGACACACGTAAGATCTTCCTAGCTGCTAAATTTACTTCACTTTGTGATTCATGTTGGGTGTCTGCTAGAGAATTGATCACTAAAGCATTTTTTTAGAAATTAATTTTGTGGCAGAAATCATCATGGAACATGGAAAAATATTACTAATATTAAATAGAACCGCAGTGAGTTTCAATGTATTTGTTTTATCATTGTTATCTAATTTATCAATCAATGTGAGCACAGTGTGACTACAAGATTAATAAACAGACAGGAAGTGATGCTGATAAATTTAGTTAAACTCAAATCTTAACCAAAACAAAATTCAAACTGTTAAAGTGACAGCTCTATGAAAGTTGTTAAACATGGGAATTCAGGTTTAAGGGCAGTGGTGGCTTGGTGGTTAAACCAAGTGGACTTGGGTCCGGGAGGTTTTCGTGTTCGACTCCACCAGCTGCCAAGTTACCACGAGTTACACACTGCTTCCCGGGCAGATTAAACTGCCCCCCCCCAGCTCAGCTTGGGTGATAGGTGAAAATTTGGTTGTGTGTGCGGTGGTGTGCTGTGTCATGTATGTATGTACATATAATGTATGTACTTGAAATATTTCGAGTGGAATTTGTAAAAAATAAGTAACACTGAATGTTAATCTGATGCTAACTTTTTGCTTTACTCTAATGTGGCTGGTTACGTCAGACAATGATGATTTTAAAGTGCCTTTTTCATTAATACATTATTACTAAAATGATTGATGAATTACAATTGACATCTTTTGGACGATAGCACTGTGTGTATGAGTGTGTATGATGTTGTAAACAGACTAAAGTCAGCAATTTTCTTGTATTTGTGTTCATAGAAACTTTGACAACTGCCACACCACAGCAGGAAGGTCAGTGGTTTTCAGTGAGAACCATCCTGTGTGCAGCTGTGTTTCTCCTGTGTGTTGGTTCTATCAGGGTGATAGACGATGTAAGATATGCATCTTCAGGTTATTTAATCCCAGAGTTCTCCAATTTTTTTTTTTGGTATGGATTGATTTCATATTGGCAAGTATAAGCAGGTCAACATGGGGCTAAAAACAGACTATAAATAAAATTTTACCATGAATATTAAATTGTAAATAACATACAGTTAGTGCAAACACCAATGTAAATACATTTGTTTCCTATTTTATTTTTTTCCTCTGTGACCTGATAATCAAAAACCCAGGCTAGTTAATGATCGTTCTTTGGGGATTTCTGGTGGAGACTAAGTGTGTCCAGGTTTTATGAGTACTTTGTAAGTTGTGACCAACAATTGTTATTATACAGTATTTCTATTTAATTTTATAGAATTAAAATTCTATTAAACATTTCCTGTCATTCTTGGTGTGCAGTGAACTATAAACTCCATTTTGTTTACAACTGTGGTGGATATGTAAACAATGACAAGAATCTCACTCAGATTTTTTTTTCATTCCTTTTTAAATAGATACTTTAACAACTGTTGTATCTCGAAGAGGTCAGTGGTTCAATTCCTGGTTGAGTACTGTGTGCGGTTTGCATGTTTTTGCAGTGAGTTCTTTGCCTTATTTTAATCTTTATCTCTAAACCCAAACGCTTGAGGACTGTCCTTACATAATGTATTAAACCAGCTTTTCTCAACATTTCTAAACATAATGGAGACGAGACCTGCTGAATGTACCGACAAGGTCACCAGGAGAACTGTTGAATAAGAGCGTTGTGTGACTCATGCATACATTTATGGGATGTTATTAATTATTGTACAAAAACCAATTGAGGGCAGGCGTGGAGGGATGTCTCTGTGGAATATCTGTGAAGAGCTTCTGAAGAACAGTTATAATGAAGGCTTTGGCAGAACTAAGACCTTCTCCTCTGTGCTGCCCAAACGCTGTTACTCCGTACACAAGTCAAGGTTGTTGTTTGATTCACTTGGTTAGTTAAAAAATAAAATAAAATGTTGACTGCATTTCCAGAAAGAGTTAAAATTTCAGGAAAATTGTTAGGGTGGAACGTTAGATCGCCTGTCATTTTAAAACCAATGCTTTTCAGCATACAAAAACAGAATATTTGGGCCTGTTGTAGTCGTCATTTCAAAATATTAAGAGGACTCATAAAGGCCGTACATCGTTTTGTGCAGAACTACCTTCAGGTTCTCTGCCTAACTGCAGTTAGACCACAAGGCAATGGGAATGTGTTGTGTGGTCAGATGAATCATTTCCCCTTGTTTTGGATTACATTTCATTGTTATGTCTAGAGCAGTGACTCCCATCCACTGTGCGGTGTGCCCTGTTCTTCCTGTAGCCTGAATTTTGTTTTTTATTTTGTTGTTTTTTTCTGTCAGCATTCTTTTAATCTTCCAATTTCTGATTAAGATGATGTGTCTCTTATCATTTCACATGATCTGTCTCACCTTCTTTTCTTTCTCACTCACTTATAATTTGCCCTGTTTTTTTTTTCTTTTCTTGCCTCTCCGTCCTGTACCTACTCTGTTTTTGGTTGGGTTGTATCTCTGCACCTCTTCCTCCTCAACCAGCACCCGCGGGCTTTGTGAAGTCTCCTCTGTCTGAGACCAAACTGACAGGCGATGTTTTTGAGCTTTATTGTGACGTGGTGGGAAGCCCGATCCCCGAGATCCAGTGGTGGTATGCGGAGATCAACCAGGCCGATGCCTTCCAGCAGTTGTGGGATGGTGCTCGTAAGCTACGAGTGTCCATCAACACAGCCTACGGTGCCAATGCAGCGAGCGTGCTGGGCGTCTCCCTTCTCAGTCTGGAAGACGCTGGGACCTATGAATGTAGAGCCAGCAATGACCCACGACGTAATGACCTGCACCAGAATCCAGCCTCTACCTGGATCCGTGCCCAGGCCACTGTAGCGGTCCTGCAGAGTGAGTTGTCGGTGGAGAGTTCCTCCTCTCTCCAGAAGCCATGTTTAGTTGTTCCTGTGTGGCGTAGCCTCCCCCAGGCCCCTTCACAGTACCGCTAGCTTTTTGGATGGAAACCAGCTTCTCCTACAACCTTGTGAAAAGATGAAGAAAACCAATCCATCTTGTGTTTTAACTCCAGCACATTCTTCAGTATCCCATCAGATTCTTCTCCGACCCATTGTGTCCAGTCATCCTTTGTTTTCTTTCCATGTCATTTGACCGAAATATTAAAATGTTCATCGGGACTAAACGGATTATAAAATGTCAACACACCCATACAAGGGTTTTTTTTTGAATAATTTAGTTTCAGTGTACGGGTTGGAGAGTCTAAAGAATCTACAATAGTCTGAAAAAATGTGAGCACAGTATAACTGTACTGGATACTGTTATACTGTGTAACTTTCATGGTGTACCTAAGAAAATGAATGGATGGCTGGTTCTTCACGACTGTTTTACTCTCAAAGACTCCATTCCAAAAACAGAACAGAACTTAACATTCCTGGGTCATTGTTTTGGCCCAGAGTCATTTAATGCTCAGCCTGTGGTGAAAAGCTTGGGGGGATTTAGCCACTCAAAAAGGATTATGAAAACCTGGATGACTGGATGTGCTAAAAAATGCAAGGCTATATATTGACGCTTAATTTGAATAATTTAAACTGATGTCAGAATTCTTAAGTTTGGCTGGTGACAATTTAAAACTGAGCTTGTATTGTGCGTCAAAGATAAATGTTTGAATTATCAGTTAAACAACAAGAAGACATTTGTATCTTGCTTATTTTCACTAGGACAGTGATTTATAAACATTTTGTGGGCAGCATGGTGTTAAATGTCTGGCTCGGGGACATCTCAAATGCCGCTGGACTACTTAAATATTCACAATACAGTTTTTGTAATAAACCAAACACTACAAATGAATCCCTTCTTTCCTTCTTCTCCAGTTCCTTCCCTCTGGTTTTTATTAGTGCCTTTGACTGTGGTGTCTGTCTGAAGCCGTCGTGTGTCGTTCCCTCTCTTAACACTTTCTCACTCACAAATCCTAAAAAAGCATCGTTCCTCCTGTGGCTGATCCGTGTCTCTTCCTCAGAGCCGTCCATTGCTGTTTCTGAGAGCGTCACGCTTCCTGTGGAAGGTGACGCTCTCACGTTGCAATGCAACCTGACCTCCGCCAACGATGTCCACCAGGAGAGTTTCTGGATGAAGAACGGAGAGGAGATCCCTGACACTCGCAGTCCAAACAAAAACACTGAGTACAGGTCAGACCCCCAGCAAAGTCTAATGCGACAGTGTGGGCGCGAGTGATGATCAACAGTGTGACGTGGCTTCATACCAGCTGGCTTTATGTTTTACAGGCTGCACAGACCAAGGGCAGATGACGCTGGAGTTTACATGTGTGTCTACAGCTTTGAGATGGCTCCTCCAGGCAACGCCACCATTGAAGTGAAATGTAGGTGCCGTTTGTGAACCACAGGCATGTTTGACGGCTTCAAGGCCGCATTACAGAAGTCACCAATAAAAACGGCCCGAGTGGCCTGGAGCGTACAGCCCTGTGATGGGGACTTGTGATTTCAAACAGCTCTTTGTGCTTCTTTGGGCCAGCCAGCGCCCTTGACACCACCATCCAACCAATGGTGGGCTCAGTGGCAGCAGATGGCGTCTTGTTTGTCTAATGGCAGAGGATTATGTTTCCACAGAAAAATCTGCTGAGCCTTTTCAGCTCTTGCAAATTAATCTGTGTGCAGGAAATTTGGATTTTGGGGGCAGATAAAATGTATTTATAAAAAAAATAGTATATTTTCACACAAAACAATTATCACAAAGGTTGATTTGAAATAGTGAATAAGAGAAGTCCATTACACCGGTTTTTCTGGTAATCATAAAATGGAAAATGTCACAAACAAGAAGGACATGATGTTTTAAGAACATTTCACTGACTTCAGTGATTCACAACCACTACGCCCCAAAGCAGTAGTGTACCATGAAAAATGTGCGTTTGTGTTTGTCAATGTGACAGTGACGGGCAAAATAATTAACAACTCTTCTACTAGGTAAACACAGATGGCTATTAAAACTAAATGATGTGTTTCTTTCTTTAATTCCTGGGGTACACCAGTATTGTGTTTTTAACTAAACAGGCTTGTTTTTCAAACCAACTCTTTTTCTTTTCTAACAGCTTCTCCTGAGATTGTTGGCCACAAGCGTAGTGAGAACAAGAATGAGGGGGAAACAGCCGTGCTGTACTGTAAGTCTCTGGGCTATCCTCTCCCTGTGTGGACCTGGAGGAAGTTTGAGAATGGTGTTTTTCGGGTATGTCACATAGTATTTTTCTTTTCTTTACCAGTGATTCCCAATTACTGTGCCGTGGCACATTAGTGTGTAGTGAGAGGTCATCAGTTGTATCTCAGAAATCTAAATAAAATAAATACATCTGATTATTCGTGGTTGTGTTCAACTTCACAGGGCCAGGTTTCACACCGAGTTAGTTATTAGAATATATCTTAAAGAACTATCTTTATGTTTCCTTACATGCCCAAGAGTCACTGACTTGAATGCCTTCATTCATCTTCCTGGGCAGGAAATTGACAACAACACTGAACGTCACTCTATCAGCAGCAAAGACAACTACACCGAGCTCCAGATCACCACTCTGGATATTATTGCAGACCCTGGAGAATACCACTGTAACGCCACTAACATCATTGGCAGCCGTGACGAAAAGTCTATCCTGAGAGTTCGCAGCCTGTTGGCCCCCCTGTGGCCACTGCTGGGGGTTTTGTTTGAGATCATCATCCTGGTCATCATCATTGTTGTTTACGAGAAGCGTAAGAAGCCAGAAGACTTACAGGACGGTGAGTCACCACTTATAAAACAAAACAACTTCGTTTGTTTTTGTTTTAATGGCGTCCCACTTGATCCAAGCAGTAATTGGTTTTACCGTAAAGGTGTTGACGTCTTTGCGTCTTTAGTTTTGCCAAAGATGTCACCACCAGAGTCACCTGACCCTGTGCTGGGCCTTAACTCAATAATTCAGCCTGGCAAGGTTGACCCAACAGGCAGAAACTGTTGCAGGAGGTCGCACCTTGTCAGGACAATTTCATCCATTTAATATTCATGAGGAATATGATACTGCAGTGTTGCAGTGTGGGCGCTCTTAATTATTTACATCTTTCCAAGGACCTTGTGCCGTACCCAAGCTGCTGCCACTTTACCCAGGAGACCTCATTCAGCTCCACAGCCTGTGTTTGTCATCCTGGCATTCTTTTAATAAGACCCGGCCATTTGCTTTATCGTAAATTATGTATTAATGGTATTTGGACGACCTTTTTCTCTCAAACAGAATTTTGATGTTGCCACTCGCTGATTAGAGATATCACACAGTGGCTGACTAATGATTCATGACTCTGAATATATTCATATTGTGACTCATTACGTGGTTGGAAATGAATGATCCATTCAGATTATAATGCATATTTAGCATCTGAAATAGAAATACAAAAAAATACCATTTTATAAAGTGTTGCTGTTGTAGTTTGATCGTGATTTAAAGCATATAGTGTTAACTGTCAAGACAAAATCAGCTTCCTAAGAGAAAACTTTTAATTTGGGTAAAAAAAAATAACCCAAGAACATCACAGCGGTGAATTTCTTTTTAGGTCAATAAATGGGGGCATTTCATGCTCTTCTAAAATCTTTTTTTTTTTTATAGCCTGTGTCACATATGTTCAACTCTGCTCCTGTAGTGCACACAGACTGTGGACTCTGGACTTTAATAATCCAACTTATATTCGTAGTATAACACTGGAGTCTAAAACCCCATTTATAATCATTCTAGACGGTGTAAACTAAATGTGGTTCATTCGATTCTTGTTTGGGGCGTTTGTACACTGTGTGGTTCTTTCTCTCTGTCAGATGAGCTTTAAATACTGAATCTATGGACAGACTGTTGTAACTTGTATCCGTCCTCCCCTTTTCCCAAATTGCATAACCTAATCACCTTGTGGTAAGTGTGAGACTTTGCATGCCTCATGAATTTCAATAAGCATTCGGCCTCATATTCCTTCTCTTCAGGACAGACTTTTTAGCTTTCTCCATTCTCATTGGTTGAACGAAGTGCACTTCCTTTCTTCATATTGACAGTATTCAATACAGTATTATTCCTATTCCAACATTTCATCTAAAAACACAGTGGGGGGATTCTTTAAACAACTGCAGCAGTAAAAGTCTTTATAAAGAACCAACATTGTTTATTTTCATGTTTGTCATTCATTTCTATCTTCACTTTCACACAGCAGTGAATTATGAGCTGCAGAACTTCCCTCTTATCAGAGTGAACAGATGTTCTTAGTCAGTGCTTCCTGTTTCTGCATGACCACAGTATTTTGTCAGTTATTGTTCGCACTTGCACATGCGTTTTTGTTGCATTGCCGTGCTGCACTTTTAAGTGCATTTTGTGTGTTTGTGAATGACACCACTTAGTCGTTTTTGCGGCGGCATGACAATGCATTCTCCTTAATGGTTGTGTTACACCATTTTCTGCTCCATGGTCATTCCATAACAGTCAAAACATACAGTAAGGCAGAAACATAAACGTCCTGGAACACACAGGGTTCTTTTGTTAGAGAAAGTCTTAGTCCTTTCAACATTGGCCTCTCAGAGTGATTATTTCATTGTCTGGTCTTCATTTCTCCGTATGTCCCCCTTTCTTTCTCAGATGATGACCCAGCCGGACCAGTGTAAGTACGACTTTCACTGACTTCATCTCTTTAACCTGTCTGTACAATCAAAGTGACATTAGGAAAAAAAATAAATTAAAAATAATTATATATTTCTTTCTCAGTGCAGCACTAAGGTCCCCAATCACTGGGCTGCAAACCAGGGTTCTGGGTCATAGGACATTTGGTCCCAGGCCAGGCCATCATAATATTAACATTGTATGATTAACTGTGTAAAAAAAAAAAATGTTTCAATTACAAAGCTTCACACAAAACTCTTATTAAAATAAAAGAAAATTCTGCTCTTAAAAGTTTGTATATAATGTAAGGGATTATTAAATCACGAGCCAAAACCTCTGCATAATATTTGATGTTCATTGTTGTGGAGAGTTTACTATATGTAAGAGTCGGACCTTAATGTTGATCTCATGGCTTTCTACTTCTAACCTTAGGATCAACAGTGTTTTATGTCATATTTCTTATATTTTATGCTCATACATACATAGTGTATAATTAGTAAAGAGTATAATTCCTGAAAAAGTATGTACTTAATACACATTTGGTGTTCATGTGTTAATACTACTGTGTATTCACAGTAGTTATTAAAATTCAAATGTTACTATGTTTTTCATTTGAAAAACATAGTAACACAGGCAGCACTGTGGGAACTGATTGTGTCATTTGTTCGTTTTTTTTTTTTTTTTTCAAAAAGTAAAACAAACTCCACCAACAACCACAAAGACAAGAACCTCCGTCAGAGGAACACAAACTGAGCAGCCCATCTGCTGAGTGAGTATTCAATTATTTATAGAAAGCCTTCTTCTAATAAGTATTTATGACATGCCTGTGGCCAAATCTCAACACCGTCCTCTGTGGTGTGTGAGATTCTGAGTGAAAAGAACAAACGGTGTGTAAGAACGAGTTGTTTCCTCTGTTTCCATTCCAGATTTCATTCCACATGTATCGACCATATGAAGGTAACCATGAGGGAGAGCCGTACCAGTCGTTACCAGGACATTCTGCCATTGACGGTTTGGCCGTGGAGGAGTAGAGTGAGGCATGCCTTATGATTTTTGTTGTGCGAGAATGTGAGATGATGAGCTACACAAAGCATTATGGAATATAACCACTGTTGCTGCATGCAGTTGTTGACGTTTGTGTTTTCTTAACCTGCTGATCACTACTTTTTACACTTTTACCTTTAAACTAATGCATGCCAGATGTCGAGCTTCTGTTTGAAACAGAAATGGCTTTTTATTTTCTTTGTTTCTCTGAGAGTGGCTTCGTGTAGATAATAATTATGTATTGTGTTTTAGAGGAAAAACAAACCGGCTAATGTATAAGAAGAATACCAACGTAACCTGGTATGACAGTTGTGTACAGTTTTCTCATTCCACTGCGTACCATTTTAAAAGATTTGGACCGTTAATATGTATTACATTTAAGGGCTTTGCAATGTCCCTCTAACTTTAAGGATTACTTTGCTGTATGTATGTACTGTATCGTCTAAATACCTATCATGTGTATCAGATCAGCATTGATATAAAGATTACTCCTAAGGTATGATGCACTTAAATGTTAAGAATAATGGATACTTGTATAAAACGACTTTAGAGAAGCTGTAACCATCATTCTGACATTGTTTTATATTCATGTGTATTGTACAGCATGGCTATTATCCTATGCAATTATTACCCATATCAATATATTGAAAGTCACTGCAGCTTTTGATTTCTCTGTGATGAAGCTTTAAACCCGTAGGATCACTGTAGAGCGTTGATGGTATATTACACAGCTGCATGAATTCTCCACCGCTGAGAAGAAGGCCCACGTCAGGACTGACACATGTGGAGCAATTCCAAAATACAGAGTCATTTTTAAAAATAAAGGTCTTAAAAATGGGTGTGGACTTCTGTTTTATTTTCTTTCTTCTTTCCATTGTCTTCAGCCAAATCTTTTGCAGGGTCACAGGTCAAGGGCGGAGAGGGGGAGACAAGCCCCGCACATTCAGACTCACATTCACACCTGTGCTTAACGTTGATTAAACTGTTAATAAAATATAAACTAATGCTGGATGTTTTTGACTACAGGAGGAAATTAGGATTACGTGGAGAAAACCCAAACACACAGAACAGAGAACAAAACATGCAGTTTATGGCCAGAGAAGCTTAGTGGTTGAGCTGTCGATCAGCAAATATAAAATAACTTTACACACATTTTTTTTAATATAGTTTTATAGTTTTATTATATGTTATATGTCTTAACAGTACAAAAATAAACTGACTAGAGTGAAGTCCAAAACATAGATTCCACAGTATCATTTTTTTTTCTTTCTGTAGTCCATACAGAGTCGGAGACGTGTCTGCAGAGCTTCGTATGACTGCTGGAACTGAGGTGTAAAAAAGACAGACACCAGAGTTCTGCTTAAGAATAAACAGTAAGTCTGCAGACAAAGTTGAACATCACTTCTGTTGAAGTTCAACAGAAGTGATGTGATGTTCTTAGAACAGCACAACCTGAAAAAAAAGTGACTGTTAGGATGAAGGTCCGAACTGTTAGACTCTGATGTAGATCCAGATGTTTTTGCATGTGCTGAAAAATGATCAAGTTTCTCTAAAATCCATTAGAAATTATTATATTTTCTAAGAAGACAGTCATGAAGTTGGCCTCAACTGTATCTAAAACGCACACAAGCGCCCTCCACGGACCAGGGTAGAAACATAGAGCAACAGCGCCCTGTGGTGGCGGTTGGTGTCAAAACACTGCTTTCCACTCAACATAAGGAAAGCATTTTTAAAAATATTTTTTCAAGCTAGAACTGACTTCAACTATCTGTTTTAGGGGTAATATTAATTTAATTTAATAATAATTTAATAGCATACATAACGTCTCGAGTAAATGGCATTTCAGAAATTCTGGATTAAAAACAAAAAATAAAGAAAAATATCTCTAGCATGTTTATGAAATATTGTCTATGCAATACACAGCCTCACCTTTAGGGGCGACCAAGTGCATCCAACTGAACTTTTCTTTAACAAATGGGAGATGATAACATAATAAAGACACACAGCTAACACACTTAGCCCAACTCGGAGTCCGTAAACAGTATGTACACAAAAATATAATGTTATACATTGTGAACTATTCGGTGTGGTTTCATTAATAGTAAATTGTTAATTATTCTTTGACTCACTGCTTAAGCACATTTTAGCGTGTGTATTTAGTGTGTATAAGCAAATATCACTGCTAATGATTCCCGCCGGACTTACCGTACACTACTGTTTTTGAATATTTTGAATTTCTAAAGCTGGTTACGTTGATTCTAAAACATTCTAGAAGAACTCTTCAATGTTGTATGATATACATTAAGAGGAAACAGCTCTCACATTAATGTGTAACACCGTTAGCCATAACGCTATCAAAGATAAAACAACTATCACAGCAAATATTAAACAGCACATCCCTGTAACCTGTCAGTTTAATTTTGTTGAAAAGAAACCCAGGAGTTTAATTATAGAACTAACTAATTGATAAGACCTATATTTTAGGGGATAGAAATGACATTTAAAACTGAATTGTTACGGTTGCATATGTAGGCATTTAAAGTAACCCAAGCGTTGTACTTCTAGACATGATGAGGTTATTGTTTAGTACTAAGTCACATGATCCCTTTAATCAGACCTGTCTGTCTGTGTGTTGTTCCTACTATAGCGTCATGTCACTTGTGTCATTACACTCACCTGTGCCCTGTGTTTTCTCTATTGATTAGACTCACTGGTCTCACCTGGTGCCCTGTGTATACAGTACATACCTGTGTTCCCTGCCTCTCTGTTCCTGCCTGGCCTGTGTTCTCTGAAAGTTCGTAAGTCTGTTCACTTTTTGCTCATTTCCCTAGCTCTTCTGAGTCTAGACATAAAGAAAGAAAGTCTTAGACATATTCTAAAACTATTCATTTTATATTATTTAGGCATAACATTTTAGATTTCAGAGCATAATAATAAGCAAAAAAAGAGCATATTTAGATTTGTGTTACTCATTGGTGGTGGTGAACAAATCCAAAGATCTGCAGGATCTTGGTGATACCACATTAGCCAGCACATAGTCAAGAGTTAGTGAGTATTGATGGAGATTACTGTGTACTAAGAAGTACTACCTGTACTGAGGGAAAAATAATTCTCTCACAATCCCAATATGTTAGTTGTTCTGATTGACTTAAAGTGCCGCAAATGTGTTACAGCATTAGAATCACATTGAAAAATCTTGTTAAGCACCAGGGCATTACAGTTGTGTTTATAGCACCCCCTGCAGGAGACGAAGTGTCTTTCTGTTTAGAAACAACAGACAAGGATTTTGTATTATTTTCCTTTAAAATACACATTTTATTTATTCTCTTTAGGTTTCAATCGCATCTAGTCGTGATACTATGTGTATGTCCAGAAAACAACACAATACAACAACGAAGAAAGTATAATTAATAAAATCCAATTAATCCAGGCAACAGCCCCATTATATAAATGTCCATCCAGCAGAACTGAACATAAACCCTGAGCAGGTGGTGACATAGTGTGTGAGTGACATATAGTCTTCCACTACAACACTGTGCATCATCTCCACTGCTGGATCACATCCGTGGGTCGTCGCGTCCACTTGTCCTGACTGGGCGGGGTGAGCGCATGTGGACAGATTAGCTCCATCAGTATCCCTGTTATCAGTGGGATGGATGGATCAGTGATGTCAAGGCTCCCTGGATGCCGAATGCAACAGCTGCGTGCGTCTGTGTCATCACTCCGCACTGTGGGAGATTTTGGTGAGGTGGAGATCATGCTTTGTCATTGAGGAGCTCAGCAGCAGCATTCTCTCATTCCGGCGCGGCACGTCCGACGCTCAACATGCTGCATCCTGATGTTCTCTCGTCTGCGGGCTGTGTGATAACTGGGATTTTCACGCAAATTCTACTCACCTCTTTCACATGACCGTCGGATTGAGGTGGCCACGTAGCGTTGACGCATCTCAATTCCTCGGACCAAGGGGAGAGAGGCACGTCCCGAGTGCCAAATGAGATACCTGTCCTGCGGATGGTGATGCGGAAGATGCGCTGTTACTGTTTTGCCTCCCGTTGCGTCCTGAGTGCACGAGTTTCATGATTTATCCATTTATTTGCCTGAACTACACTTAAAGCCCACACGTTCTCTTTCCTAACAATGGAAAGATTTCAGTCTTCCATGCGCAAAAGGCTGTACAGCTTGCCGCAAAACATTGGGCAAAAAGCGTTCGTGATTGACGAAGGAGAAAACGGCGACAAGGACACTAGCACTAAAAGTATTCGCCTCAAACATTTGTCCTCTCCGTCTCCTGCGAGCAGTTGCAGGAGCATCGAGGAGGCCAGGAGTGAAGACTTGGAGAGGACAGAGGTTCTTGTGAAGACCAACTTGAATGGGGACTGTCGCCTTTTCAGAGGCAGCATCTCTTCCATCACCGGGCGACATCCTCCCGGGTCTGATCCAGCTGAACAGCAGCGCCTCCTCCCTGAGGCTGACGCCTCGGGCAGTGATTCTGCCCACACTGAGCCTGGTCCGGGGGCCCAGCAGCGGGCAACCGGTGGGACGAGTAGCACAGCCGGGCAGGGATCTGTGTTCGACCAGTCAACTTTCATCAAGTTGGAGGGGGCAGAGCAATTAACACCTGAGGATGACAGGCTGTACCAGGCCGGCTTCATGCACCGCCAGTTTGGGGCGATGCTCCAGCCGGGTGTTAACAAGTTCTCCCTGCGGATGTTGGGGAGTGAGAGAGCCGTGGAGCATGAGAGAGAGCGGGTCAAGTCTGCTGGGTTCTGGATAATTCATCCATACAGTGACTTTAGGTAATTTACGTATAAACAAACTTTGTCAACATGCAAGATATAAAATATGAAGCTTTAAAGGGTGCAGTTTATAGTCTTCAGAGATGATCTAAAACCAGTCATTGCCAAACACTGGGCTGTGACCCAAGAATAGGTCGTAGGTGATTTTTGTTGGACAACCAATAGCAGTAAAATCGAAGGGTAATTTGATAATAGTGAGTACTAAAATCACTGAAATTATAATTATTGATATGTTGATTGATATGATAATCCTGTTTGAGGATTGTTAATAAGCAGATTTATGCATAAATATATTACAATTTTGGCTAAATACAGTATTGTCTCACCCTAATTAAGAAAATATTTATGTTGAAAAGAAATGGGAAAGACTAAAGTATAAAAAATAATAATAATCGCCTACTGTTTCACCCTTTAACAGAGCCTGTTGGATTACACAACTGCTTTTCTTTCATGTAATTGTGTTACTTCAAATCATTTTCCTTCACTCTGTAAACTACACAGTGAATATAAACAAAACTTCTATTTAAAAACAATTTTATAAGCATCAGGAAAAGGTGCATGTAGCTGGAATCCTCACATCCTTCAGTCCTAAAATATTAATAAAAAATAAACTCATATGCTTTACAAGAAGTTCTGCCTTAATCAAAGAAATGTAACGTAACAAAGATAATCTGACCAGAGTATTTGTTTAACAGTAAGGAAAGGAAACTCCCTGACTCTTTACATCAGCAGTGTTTCTCACCTTAAAGCAACATAAAGACAGACACATGAAATGAGTGACAAAAATCTGAGTCACAGATTACGATGCAACTTTTCCCTTAATCTTTATATTGCTGTTTATTCAGACAAAGGAAATATGCCGTTCATATTATTTATTATTATTATTATAAGATATTTTGACATTTATTCAAACAATTCTTACCAAGGGTGTCTTTTAGGACGTGCACATTTACATTTTAGTGTACGCTGAATAAACACGTAGCAGCATTCTGATCATCTCAGCTATCAGGGGACTTCTGTGACATTTAACCTTGAGGGTGGCTGTCATCATATCTTCACTGGCATGTTGCATGCAGACATGTGTTACTGCAGTTTTTTTCCCTCCACTCATCTAAATTACACTTTTTTATCGTTTACCAAGGGCAATGGATTACAGAGAGAGCGGCAGGCGCTTGGAAAACTGGTAATCAAAAAAGGGTAACATAACCATTCTAGGTATTAGAAGTACACATCAGTCACATCAGATTATTACAGCACAATTAGTCTAATGGAGCAGGGCCGGTGTGGACAAGGAGAGGACACGTTGCAAAACACTGGACAGACAGAAAGAGATTGAGATTGAAATGAAAACGTTGCTGTCGGGATTCAGGACGTCCAGCTGTTAGATCAGTGTGTGACGTTTCTGTGTGGAGTGGTGTTGGTTTAAAGCGGCGCTTTGGTGACTGCCTCCTGTGGTCTGTTCTGCATTTCCACAGATTCTAAGAAAGAATTCTGTCTGTAACATATATACTGCATGAAAACAAGAGACAAGAAGGAAAATTGACTCATGATAGAGAAATGTAACCTGGTTTCCTCTGCAGCACAACTGCAGATTTGTGGACCATGTTTTTAGATGTTTCTCTCCATATATTTGAAATACCACATTTACTGTTTTGCTCGACTGCACATGTTTACTAAGTTTACTATGTTTTGTTGATTGACTGGTGTTTTTCTTGTGCTGCAGTTTCTTCACGTTAGATAATGGTGGTAGAATTCTAAGAAGGTGCTAATGTGAGGAACCATATACATATATATATGGTATGTCCTAGGTGGCCTCTGTATGTTGTCTGTCCCTTTGATTAAACAAAGTCTCAGATGTTTATTGCATTAATAGTTTTTGTGTCCATGGCTGCAGGAGCATAGACTGTGTTTTGAGTCTGCACACAGGTTAATATGATTGTCAGTGGACCAGAGCCACAGTGCAGGTGTGTGTTAGCCCACTGAGCTGCATGCACGCTGCTGTGCTGCAGCTGATCTCTGGCAGTAAGGAATAAGTATCTCCAGTATAAAAGTGATGTGTTTTTCTGCTGTCCTGATTGATCTAAGCTCCTTTCACCATTTTAAGCCCTTTTGTGTTCACTTTGCCTGTAACTCCCCGCTCTTTGTGTGATCATGGTCCTCGCAACACGTTTGCTCTCTGAGCCAAATAGTGCAAGATTTCACTTTTCCCCATTGAGGGTCCAGGGTCTCTGCACCAGATTTATTTTTTAATGATATCACCAGATTACAGCAGCAGGCTGTCTGATCTGTCAGGCCTGGCTGCTGCATGCACAGTCAGCTGATGAGCAAACAGAAAGGTCTGCAGGACACGTTGCATTACTGCTGTCCTCCGCTCCAGCTGTCCCAGACTTCTGCAGCAGAATGACGTGTGCAGAGAAGTACTTAACATCTGGCTGATGGGAGCTGACTTCTGGAGATGACATGGATTCCCAGGAGATAACGTTGGATTTAGCCAGAGAGGGGAAGAGCAATTAGGACCACTGTGTCACCACAAAGACAACAGGCAGATGGAAGAGAGGAATGTAAATGCTTTGTTTGACAGAGAACAAAAGAAAGCTGATTAGAACAAATGTCCACCTTATCCTTTCTGCTTTTCTTTTTGTGGGATTTCCTTTTCTTCAGGTCATCACATTCACCGTATCAGACTCAGGCACACATGTAGCATTTTTACAACCTCTGCAGACTCTATGAGTTACATCCTGTTCACCACAAAACCATAACAGTTCTGATGAGGGTGTGTTTGTTAGGTTTTTGGCAGATTAATCATTGATTAATTTGGTCTGTGAAATAGATCCCTCATGTAATCACACGCATGCTCGCTCTCTCATTTCACCTTCCCTTGTAAGCAGGCTAGGATATTAATGTTGTGATCAGGATTTTTATGCTCCTGTGGAACATACACCAGGGACATTCTCACTCCTGTTGGTGCAACATTTTGTAACTATTTAGTGTCGTTACCTTTTTCCATTCCTGCACTAAGATGTTCTTTTTCCTACTTAGCTTTTCCACAGCTAAAATGATTAGTGACTCTGATAAATGTTCTGCGACTGGATCTACATTTAGTTTTATTTCAACTGATGGCCATTGGCTATATTTACTATTTTATTTGCTTTTAGCTATTCACGGTATCTTCAACTTCAACTCTCCTTATACTGCAGTATGTAGTTGCCCAGCTTTCTCTTCAATTTTTGTGATACGAAAATCTGTGTGGAATATTTTTTACTTGTAGCTGTAAAGTATCATATTAATGATAGTCTTCAAAGACATTGAAAGCCTACAAATCTCTGTAATTTTCTCGGCCTGTGATATTGTGGCTGATAAAAACACTCCACACCATCTCATCTGCCAGCTTCAGTTATGTATTGGTTACATGGTGTCAGTTTCATGGCACGTTTTCACTGTCCCTAAAATTTGATCTGTAAATAAATCAATACAACTCTTGGACACAATAATGAAAACACATTACTCTTGTAATGTAAACACAACACGGTCCAACGCCCCCTGCAGCCCTCCCCCATCACATTTTTTTTTGCATGCACTAATAACTGGAATTAAAGACACAGTTGCTGACACTAGAGGATTTAAGTAGTTAAGAAAATCAATACTTCCTCATCAGCAGTGAAAATGAATTCCAATAAGCCATTTTTTCCCCTCCTTATCACCGTGGCCCACAGCACAACATTGAAATGAATTGGTAGCTACTGTTGTTTTCTTGTTCAGCTTATACAACAATATCAGTGGCTGTTAATCTGACTTCAGGTCTGTTTCAGTTGTGTAATGAGCTTCATCTTGTCATATCATATAACACATAAATAAGTGACTCAGGCTGAGAGGAATGAACCGGTTCTTCTTGGTTTGTTTAAATGCAACAAATTATAAACTACAATACATATTTAAACATACAGTTAAGGGAGATACATGTAGTCTAAAACTTTTGCACTTTAGTGATGTATATATAAATTCTGCTTTTTTTACCTAGATGTATACCCCTCAACTATGTTATTGTCAAAACAATATCAAAGTCAAAACAAAGTTATATTTGAGGAATTAAGCTTCTTTATGTTGTGAACAAATAATGTTTGATTTTGTTTGAACTGCACTTAGAACATCTGTTTTATTGAAATGAAAAACAAAATGTAAATTCCCGTGTGTGTGTGACTGTGTGTTTCAGGTTCTACTGGGACCTGACCATGCTGCTGCTGATGGTGGGAAACCTCATCATCATCCCTGTGGGGATCACCTTCTTCAAGGACGAGAACACGCCGCCCTGGATCGTCTTTAACGTAGTGTCAGACACCTTCTTCCTTATGGACCTTGTCCTTAACTTCCGTACTGGAATCGTCAGAGAGGACAACACTGAGATCATCCTGGACCCGCAGCAGATCAAAATCAAGTACTTGAAGAGCTGGTTCGCGGTGGACTTCATCTCCTCCATACCTGTGGACTATATCTTTCTTATCGTAGAAACACGCATTGATTCAGACTTTTACAAAACGGCCCGGGCCCTGAGGATCGTACGCTTCACCAAGATCCTCAGCCTACTGCGGCTGCTGCGTCTCTCTAGACTCATCCGCTACATCCACCAGTGGGAGGAGGTAGAATCTCTACTTGGTTCATGTATCTCAAATAACCACATTTGTTTAAAAAAACATTATTTTAGTTCATTTACATATACATTTCCACATTTTTTTTGCCATGAAATAATTACAACCTAATTTGTGTGCACCTCCTTGTCCACAGTGTAGTTCAAAACAAAGGTCCTCAGCCAAAGCCGTTAATTTGTTGCTCCTTCTAAAGCTACTCTCTGATACTGTATTTGCCCGTTTTATCTTTTTGGTGTAATTCCAGCTGAGGATGAAATCCCGGTAGGCCGTTAATGTTGCTGGGAGATTGTTATGCAACAGTGGAGCAGATTAAGAACATTGTGGTCTGTGGGCCTCTCTTCATCAGCCCACACAGCACCTACTGTGGATTTGAAATCCTGTGATTGCATGAGAGACAATTGACATTTTCTAGATTTACTGTATTCATAAAGAGATGTGTGCTGTTGTGTCACTTACATAATGGACCATAATCTGTGCCACAGGTTTTCCATATGACCTATGATCTGGCCAGCGCCATGGTGCGCATCATGAACCTGATTGGGATGATGCTGCTGCTGTGTCACTGGGATGGCTGCCTGCAGTTCCTGGTACCAATGCTGCAGGACTTCCCTCCTGACTGCTGGGTCACCAGAAACAAGATGGTGGTAAGTAGAGGCACGTTTGTCCTTTAAAAGTTACAGAAGCTTTTTATACTGTGACTGAGGGCTAACTACAGTATAAACACACTAAGTGATTGGGTCACTTGGTGCATGAGCAATCCTGTAGTTTATAGATTTGAACCTCAACACTGAGACACGGCCATTTAGAAACATTTCCATCACAGTCTGATAATAGTATTGCAGTTTGTTGAGTGTCTTCAGGTTCGAATGATTCTTTCCTAAATCCTTTAAGAGCTTTAAAACCACCATTACACAGATCATTAGCAGCTGGGTTGATTACAGGAGGTCTGTGTTGGATTTAACAACTTTCAGTAGAGAAGGAACTAGGGAAATATGACAAACCTCAGTCATTAAAGAGAAAGGGAAATTTTGGTTGTATTGAGTGTTAAAAAACCAGTAAAGATCTTCAAATGTATTTGAAGACAACCTCTAATTACACCTATTCTGATGTACATAGAAGTTTGCCCAGATATGGTCATTCTGTCGCCTATTCTGTCACCTCCAAATTCTTTTGGGCCTTTTTTTAAATTAAAATGATAGAATCCTCATCTTAATCCATCTGAAAACCTAAAATGCCCTCTTACTCAGAGGAAGTGCTGCAGTAATGAAGTTGTGGCTCAAGAAAAACTTTTTTCTCCTCCACATGTTTCACAGAACGACACTTGGGGTCAGCAGTACTCCTACGCTCTCTTCAAGGCCATGAGTCACATGCTGTGCATAGGCTACGGTCTGTATCCACCTATAGGAATGGCAGATGTGTGGCTCACCATCCTCAGCATGATCGTGGGCGCCACCTGCTTCGCCATGTTTGTGGGGCATGCCACTGCACTCATTCAGTCCCTGGACTCCTCCAGGCGGCAGTATCAAGAGAAGGTGAGGGCTCTCATGATTCATGTTCACCAATATAGAAAACAAATCTCTGCTGCCGTTAGTTTGTAAAGTATTGAGAGGTTTTACTTTCTGCCTCAATTTATCCATTCACTCAAAATGTTGGATTCATCTTAATGTGTATTTCAGCACATTTAAATTTGTGGAGAAAATGATACGATTATATGCAACGTCAACAGTATGTTGTTCAGCGTTGGGTGTGCCAGACACTGTTGATTCTACCTGTTCAACACTGCTTTCCTCACAGTACCAAAGTCCTGTTGCAAAGCACTTGTAATAATATAGTGAGAATGTTAAGAAGTCATGGTCTATCATGTATAATATAAACTATTTGCATATCTAGTGACAGTACTAACTGATAACAAAAACACGCTGCGTTCCCCTTAAACACAAACAGATCTTTTCATTGTGTAAATTAAACACAGTCTGGAAAGCATCAAAGGTGATTAAACGCCAACAGTAATAGTAAACTAGACAGAAGACAGGATGCAGGACAGAGCGCTGGTGTAAACAGTGACCATACTGTCCTGGTAGAGAACACTGCTGAAGGACACAGTCGTTAATGTTATTAGCTGCAGCCTGCAGAGCAGGACTGTACATGTCAGATGGGGCAAAGACACAGCACTGCACTCTGGGCAAGTCTCACAGATGGCGTGACCGCCCGATATCCACGTAATGAGACTCAGACGCACTGTGGTCTGAGCCAGCGAACCAATCAGTTTAATAATTGTATTATTCCACGTTAATCTGCTCTTGGATTCATCATATCACATTGACAGGTGTGTGAAGTTTGTTGTCACATTTAATAATTGTGTTTTTGTTGTGTGTACAGTACAAACAGGTGGAGCAGTACATGTCCTTCCACAAGCTCCCAGCTGACATGCGTCAGAGGATCCATGACTACTACGAACACCGCTATCAGGGCAAGATGTTTGACGAGGAAAGCATTTTAGAGGAGCTGAACGAACCGCTGAGAGAGGTCAGATTTCATCTGTGCTGAGTTGATGCTGAGCTCTGACACCAAGAATTGAAGTTTCAGGCTTTCTTTTTTTTTTTTGCTTTTACTTCAGAATTGCAGTATTAGTTGACCATATTTTAAAGTACAGCGGCGCTTTGGCCCAGAGGCAATGTCTCTGTCATTGGTGTGGAACCCCAGGGTTCACCTCCTGGGCAAGTTTGAATCCCGGTTAGGGCGGTTGGTACCTTCCAGTGGACTCACCACCCGCAGGAAGGTTTAAGGGGGTTGGTACGATGGATGGATGGATGGATTTTAAAGTACACATAAATAGTACCTGACCTATTACTTTTATGCCTATATGACTAAAAGGATGTTTTAGTGCTAGGAAACACTACTGTGGCGTCATGAAATGCTCTAAATTGTTTGTAGTTATCATAGTTGTTATTAATGTAATCCGAGCTGCTCTGAGTGGTAATGTTAAACGCCATCTAATCAGATTAAAGTGAGTGGAGATTGTGTGAGGGATGAGCACTTCATGAACCAATCTGCTTTTATAATGATTGCTACAAATGAGATTAAGATACATCTGTTTATAGTTAGCATTCGTTGGCATTCGTTAGCATTCATTTACAGTATGATGTCTTACTTACTGCTTATGCAGAACATGACTGTCTCTCCCACAGGTAATACTCGTGTAGCCTGATGTGCAATTGTGTTAAATACGACAACAGTTATCTTAATTATTGTCCGTTTAGTAAAGATAAAATATTCCACTGTGGACTAGAGGTTGTTTTTTCATCATGAAATAATCTGAGTGAATATTTATAATCTCTCCTGTTAATCCTTTGTGTTCACTGTTAATCACTAGACCGATGTATTAATTACGTTCTTCCTGTGATAACGTTAATGCAGTTATACTGGCAGTACTGTGCACCACGTCTATGACAGCTGTGTCAATGTCTTATGTTTGCTGAAACCTTAATCGCCTTTTTCTCTCCTGCAGGAGATCATCAACTTCAACTGTCGTAAGCTGGTCGCCTCCATGCCTCTCTTCGCCAACGCAGATCCAAACTTTGTCACGTCCATGCTGACCAAACTGCGTTTCGAGGTCTTCCAGCCAGGTGACTTCATCATCAGAGAAGGAACCATCGGCAGGAAAATGTACTTCATCCAGCATGGTGTGGTCAGTGTATTGACCAAGAACAGCAAAGACACCCGGCTGACTGATGGCTCTTATTTCGGAGGTAATTTCCACAGGGATGCTGTAATTCAATTGCTTTGTGAGCAGGTGGGTCGCTGTGTCTTAACAGCTCAGTTTGACACATTTTACTGGTCATTGTTACAAAACATAGGGTGGATTTTTTAGTAGACTTACCCACACAATAGACCAAGGTAGAAAGACACATAACTGACCACTCACATTGATCCTCTGTGCTTCTATGAGCAGAGAAAAACATGTGTAGCTGTTAGCTCAGGGATGATTTATTCCAGATTTTAAAATGATCACAAGAACGGATGATTGAGTAAATGAATGATACATACTGTATGTACAATTTAAATCTAACAGGACATTTCCAGTATAAAAAGAAAAATTTAGTTTCATATTGCATCCAAAAAAAGTGAAAATTGATCTACATTTGACAGTACTGTTTTACGGCTGCAAAAGACTGGGTGAATTTTTTTTTCTTGCCATTTCAATTGTATTGCATATGCTGTGTATACAGTGAGTCATTTTTGAATGTAAACAAAATAAAGTGAACATTTAAGTGATTTATTTCACATGCACTTTGCACGCAACCTTTACAGAAAGGAAACATCAAACTCTCATGTTATGTTACTGTATCATCTTACTGTGTATCAGCAGGGGGCAGGTGTGGGGTAGTGAAGGGTGTCTCTGGGTCTTATTTTGGACACTCAAATTAATTTATTTTAGTAATGTTAATGGTTCTTTATCTCTTTACTGGCCTGAAAAGGATTAAGTGGTAGAAGATGAACAAATGAATGTTGGCAGATACATTTTCCAAGTGTTCATCTATCAACTTGTCATTTATTGCCAGGATGGATATATATTAGTGTCTTAGGAAACTGCTACTGATTAAAACATTACTCTTACATAAATAAATTAGAACACATGACCACCCACAGAGAAAAGATCTATTTTCATGTTTACCCAGCATCAAAAACAACGTGATCACCTTATCAACATAAATACAGATGGTGAATGAGGACAGAACAGTTGTTCCTCAGACCAACATGTCAGGACCTACGAACAACAGAAGAACTCAGAAAACAAACCCCACAAGGTCGTATGGATTAAAACAACGAACAACAAAGACAGAGAATGGAACCTTAACACATCTGCCTGAGAGAAATGTGTAATTTATTTCCTATTTTAAAAAGACATGATTTTTTTTTTACTGCTCTGTTATGACAGATTGGTTCAGGACAAACTTTAAGCTGCAGATATTTCATTACCTCTGTGGGATTCAGAGACATCTGTCTGCTGGGTCTCATACAGATATGACTTTCATTAGTAAACGGATTTCAACAACCAACTCCTCTGAACTGTGTCACAGCTTGAATCATACATCATTTCATCTCAATTTTTAAATTATGTTTATTAATAAATATTGTGGGTTTTCTTATTTATATTTTATATATTTGGTTTCACCTCTGTTTAGAGATTTGCCTGTTGACACGAGGCAGAAGAACAGCCAGCGTTCGAGCTGAGAACTACTGTCGGCTGTACTCTCTGTCAGTGGACAACTTCAATGAGGTCCTGGAGGAGTATCCAATGATGAGGAGAGCCTTCGAGTTGGTGGCTCTGGACCGGCTGGACAGAATTGGTTTGTTTTTCACTAAGTATTTAATCAATCTAATACATTAAAAGACCACATTATACATTGATAATAGAGTCTGTTCCAGCTGTTTGAAAAACACAGCAGTGTTTAACAAATGCCACAAGTGCTTCCTTTTCAAATAGACTATAAATAATGGCTCCTCTGCTTTTTTATGCAATGTAATATTTCGGGAAAAAAGGTCAAGGGTCCAAAGGATCATTTTAACTGGGTGGTTTTTCTTCTTAACAGAGACATGCAGGAGTTTCCAAAACAAGTACAGTTGTTCAGTAGTAAAAAAAAAATGATATTAAAACTATATTAAAACATGAACCTGGTTTTTCACTGTTTGTTGTTAAATTTATGGTGACCTAAATTTAATATGTCTAAAAAACATCTTATTTTAAAATCGTGAATCATATCGTATTGCGAGTTGAGTTCATTGTTAGATGCCTAATTATTATAAATGTCATTATTCATGTCTTTATAGGCCAGAGGAACTCTGTTCTTCAGCACAAGGTCCAGGACCACCAAAGTTCTGGTACACTGAATCTCCAAGAGAATGAGATTATCCAAAGAATAGTCCAGCATGACCGTGACATGGCCCAGTGCACGCAGCTGATTCAGACCAGCGCTGCACACAACCTCCCTGCTCCGTCTTCAGCCACCCCGGTCATCTGGGCCCCTTTGGTTCAGGCCCCGCTCCAGGCTGCTGCAGCCACCACTCCTCTGGCTCTAGCCTTAGCTCATCATTCCCAGCTTCCTCCAATCCTGTTCCACCATTCTTTGGCTTCAGGCGCTGCCTCTCTGAAGGAAGCCCTCGGTCAGCCAATGAAAGGCCCTATTGGAGCCACCACGCCCAGCAGCTGTGGTTCAGGGCCCAGTTCTCCTGTCAGTTGCCCTAAATTCCCTTCTGGGTTGGAGACTCCTACACCGGCATCTCTCAGGACTCAGCATCTCTCCACTGGGCCATTGTTACCCACAGTGACATCCCACCCCATCTTCACCAGCAGCCTGCAGCCCCTGGCCCCTCTGCCAACACCTCTGCAACACCCCCCCCACTCAGGCATAGCCTCAGCCTTCCCCATCAGCCAGGCCACCGTCTCCTACACCTGCTCTGCGAAGCTTCATTCACAGCCCTTCCATGGAGCCATGACTACACCACCTCACCCTTTTGGTTTACTCCAGCAGGGGGCACCAGGGAGGCTAGCAGTGAGATTCCCTCCACCCTCAGTCTCCACCTTAAACCCCCTGATCTGTAGTTCAGTCGGCCCCTTACTAACCCACCTACAGCAGTCCGTCCACCCCACACTACAGCCAGTGGGTTCTGGCCATGACAGAGCGGGGAGGACACCTAGTGGTCCAAGCTTTGTGAATGTTCCCTTCAGTACCAGCACTCAGAGCACCAGCCGGGTCATACATCCTGCATCTACAGCCGGAGCTGCTGCCTCTCTGGCCCAGCACAGTCTTGCAGGTCTCCAGTCTGTGTTCCTCCCACAGGTTCTACCTGACCATTCTGCTCTGGCATCACTGGCCCAGTACGGCTCTGCAGACGCCTCCCCCTCCTACACCCCTCCCCTCCAGAGTCCTCGGATTCAAAGCCCCGTGAAGGGAAGGACAGTTGACCACGGTGAGATCCCCAGCACGGTGGGCTCTCAAAGGTCCCTCACACCTCAGACTTCATGTCCTCCAAAGGCGTCCTGTGCCCTCAGTGAGGGGACAGAGACCTCTGGAGATCTCTTCACGCAGGAAGTAAAAACTATCTCAGGCTCTCACAGCTCGCTGCAGCAGGAAAGGCCCTTGGCCGTGTGCAGTTTCATAGAAGGAGCTTCAGGGGCATCGAGCTCCTTCTCTTCCCTCGTGGCCGTCAGTAAACCCTACAGTCCTGTCCCCGGTCAACCCACGCCTGTAAGTCGGACACATTCAGGGCCTGAACCTCAGGAGCAGCCTGGTGGTGTTCCCTCTCCCCATGCTCAGATAATAGAGACCAAACACAAACAGTCTACTCTTCCCTCCAACTTGTGAGGTTCAGACACACCCTCCACTGACGGCCGAACAATGAGGGGAAGCTCTTCGTCCTGGTCATTAGAAGTAGGAGGGTGTGTTGTCATTTAGACTCGAAGCCTCTGGTGGTTTTTCATCAGAGAGAATTCATAGGTAATAAAAACAATGACAGTTCCTTCTCTTACAAATAATTCTTTGAATATAAAAGAATAAATAAAAAAAGTGATAAATGATGGACATGTATGTATAGCACCTCTCAAAAATAGTTTTGTGTATTATAACTACACTCCTGACGCCCTCCTGTCCAGGCTGTTTTTGTGTAACTTTTTAGTGAGGCCCATCTAGTTGAAAGTCTAGTTATAACTGAAACCAAAACAATCGTCCTTTATTTACTACTTCCCCACCACTCAGCATATCACGTGACCTCCCCCCCTGGAAAATGTGAGCAGGCAGACAGCGCACTTTGCTTTCTTGAATATTTAAAAGTTTGATGAAGTTGTGTCTTCCAAGATTCACGTTTTAGCAATATTGCACACCGAAGTGGGTCTCATAAAGTCAGTTTAAAAACATCAACGTAACGAATATGCTGTCAGTGTTGGAGACATGTAGGTATTATTGAACGTGTTAAAATGGAAGGCAACCATTTCCATTTTGGACGTCCACAGCTGCAGCCACACAACTGACGCCAACTCTTTTCAGTCCAACACTGATTCTGGTACAGAACATACATCCAAGCCAAGGTCTGTGTGCCACTAGCATCATATGCAATAATCTGTGTTTTTCTATGTTTTACAAAGGTACTGTGAACTGAAGCATTTGTTGAGTGAAACTCTGTTGTTCGTTAAAACAGATTAACTTGAGGAAATCAAGCAATTGTGGATAATCATATATCCTGAAACCAGCCATGCACTGAGAGTGATCTGAATGTCTTTTTGTTTTTTCTTTGCACAAAGGGCTAAAAGCAGTTACATGTGCAAATGGTTATTAAAAACCCCGATGAGTCGTACTGCTGCATATGTACCTCTGTCATTGTTCATTATTGAAGCGTTAATCTTTATTTATGTTGTTAATCTGTTACTGCATGGTCATTTTGTGGACAACCCATACTACATATAATTATGTTTTAAAGACTCTTACATCCTAATACGTCCATGTGTTGACACTGTGCTTCCCTCTCTATCTCTGCTGATACCAGCTGTGCCCAGGTACAACGTCCACTCCAGTAACTCCAGCTGCATTTTTTATATATATATATGTTTTTGCGTTGATTTGCTGTGAACCATATGAGAAATGGACGTAGCCATTCAATTGCAGTCGTGTTGACCTGGAGTCAACTGGAAGTAGGAATTAACCTCTCAACGGCGACTAATGAGACGACACACTCAGTCTAACACGTCACTATTAGCCATGTGAAATCATACTGTTGAACTGTGACAATAAGATGGGAAAATTGACAACAATGGACACGACTGGAGAAGGAAAATCTTCAACGTGGCAGGAGAGAAGCAAAAGTACAAGAGTTGTGTTCATAATGTCAAGATCAGGCAGAGGAGGAAACACTAAGAGTAGGTAGAAAATCACAAGTCAGAAACCAACACATGGAGATGACCAGAAAAATATAAATAAATAACAAGAACTGAGGACAAATGCTTAGAGACAGGCAGTGAGAAGAGGTGAGTGAGGGGAATATATACAATCAGGGGAGGAGTTAACGAGACACAGGTGAGGATGGTGATCAGGTGATCACCGTGGAGGAAGACAGGAACACAGGAGCTGTGGACACCTGAGCTCTGTACTGGAGCACCTGGGAAAAGAAAAGAAATACAGGGTGAGACACAAAGAAACTACACTTTGTGTCCCTCTTGGGTGGCTTTCATCTGGGCGTTCCAGTTTCCTTTCACATTCCAAAATCAGGGAGATTGCAAATTGAGGTAGGATTAATTGACCAGTTATTGTTAGCATAGGCTTGACTGACTTTAGTCTTTGTATTCTGTGCTGTAACAAACAAAGGAACTGGCTGTGATGTTCACCGTCACCTGATATCAGCTGGGACCGGCTCCAGCTCCTCTCATTCAACAAAAACACTAAACATGTATTAATTGCGACCCCTGCAGGAGACAACAAGGAAGTATCTTCAACTGTGTTACAGCCAGAATAATTGATCATTGAGTTCCCATGGGAAATTCACTGACGTGTGACTTGTTGTTGACCTCATTACTGCATCACAGAAACTAGTTTCAGTTCGTCTTTTCACGAGAACATCCAATTATAAACAACAATGAAATTAAAGGAAAAATTGATACTGTGTGCATTTTACACCTCAGAGGAACATCTCATCTACAGAGGAAATTTCAGTGAACACATGGCTATGTCCATTTCTTGTAGACGGTCTACTCCTGCGACTTACGAAGGGAGGAAGAGAATTATCTAATCATTACTCTTCTCTTTCAGCCCTGCATCGCTGCAACACCTCAGATTGAACTCAGACCGAGTGTTCGGTTGCTCCAAGTGCATTCAGAGACAATAAAGGTAATAATGTAGTTCAGAAAGTGTAACACATTTCTTAATTCCCATATATTTATATCTAGATTTACAGACACTTTTTTGGACCTGATGATTCCATCACACGTGTGTGTTAGGCACATTTTGCTTTAGCCTCTGAATTATATACAATAAAAAAAGATGTGATTATGATGTGTGTCATGGCTGGTGACTGTTTCCCAGACCAGAGTTTGTCTAAGAAATCCTGGAGAACTGGAGTTTTCAAAATAATTTTAGTAGTTTTATTAAGGTAAATACTTGGCCCTTGCAGTGAAGATTTGTGTTTCCCGTTACACGATTTAAAAAAACAAAACAAAACAATATTTTCACTTGAAGGAATTTGTCCAATTGCTTTTTTTTTTAGAGTTTCTGAACACCATGGCCAATCATTCAAAGCTTTTTCTTTTTTAGCTAAAAACCTCTCTGGCAACACCAGAGTAACTGTTATCTTATTATTCTTATTATCACATAAACTAAATTAGAATAAATTAATTAGAATACAATATTTAGTCCCTTACATCCCACAATGGAGAAATTTGTTAAACTGTCTTACTAGATCTTCACTAAAGACCTTTAAGAGGATCTAAGAAATGTTTAGATGCACAAACCAGTAGGACAGAGACAAAGAGACAACACATTATTGACCCAAGGAAACCTTTAATGATGGATGCCAGGTCAGAACAAAAAGATTAACGATCCACTTTTCACTTTTGTTCATGGTTCCAGAAAAAAACACAAAACCAAGTGTGTGCAGGGCAAGAGTGTGACAGAGGGATTTCCACTGAAAGGTTTTGAGTTCAGTCCTGGCAACAGGAATTAGACAATAAATTGCACGTATTGTGTTTTGACAGGAATCATGGTGTTACTGTCGATGGACGACAACATACAAAAAAAGAATGGTGTTACTTTCGACTTCCTGATGATTAAAAATAACCAGCAGACTACTGAAGTCTTCTTAAGGGGTTGCAGGTTACAAAAAAGCTGGAGTGGAGACTGGTGTCCTTAGAAGACGTTCAAGGAACCAGGACAACTCTCATGGTGTTGGTGTAACCAGAACCTGGGCGCCAGCCGGTCACAACCAGGGCCATGTCACCGGGCTTGAGGAAGTTGCGGTGTTTGCCTTTAGAGGGAAACAAAGAGTGAAGATAAACGAAATAGTTTTTATACATTAAAAAAAAAATCCCACTTCAGGCACTTACCAACTTCCAGGGCAAAGTTCACACGGAGGTCAACATCCTCAGCCCAGACGTCACAGGCGGGCTTGGTGTAGAGGACAGGGTAGATGCCACGGTACAGGTGAGCCTGGCGTGCAGCCTGGCCGCTACGGGTGACAGCGATGATGGGGGCACGGGGTCTGTACTTGGACAGCATGTGAGCAGACCTGCAGAAAACAGGCACAGGTGAAGACAAAGACACTGGTCTGGATAAGGACTAGTCAGAAAATGGTACCCATATTAGAGGTGTTTAAGTTCATGTGAGTACTGCACTGTACTGCACTGTACTGAAGTACAGTCCTGATCAGTGAAAACTGTCAGTCAGAATGAGCTAAGAGATGCATCAGAGCTCCGATGAGTAAAGTGGCAGTGCAGAGTCAGGAGATGAACCTCATCAGCAGAGAATCATTTCACATGTACAGCAGTCATGTGACCTCACGTTAATACAGATCTTGTGATTAAAGTAGCTTTGGGTTGAGCCATTATCAGGAGTAAATCCGCCCGGCTGACAGTGATACGTCTGCTGTGTCATGTGCCGTGAGGATGAACTTCCAAATGGAAGGGAATGAAGAGAGAGTTAAAATTATCGCTCAAAATGTCAGGGTTCAGTTCTTAAAAGGTCAGGATGGAAGCACAGTTTGTACTGTGAAAGCTGTTGAACTTTTCACATGAGCCTGGTGGCACACACAGGGTGGAGCAGACTGGGAGGAGTGTCTCCAGCTGCTTTGTTCCCAGCAGAGGACATTAAGACACGTTCCCTCATTCTCACCTGCCAGTCTTGGTGAGGACAATGATGGCGCTGGCGCAGCACTTGAAGGAGGCCTCGACGGTTCCAATAGCGATGGACTCTGTGGGGTCACGAGTCAGATGGGTGGTGCGACGCAGCTCCTCGAACATTTGCCTGTGGAACATGGCTGCCTCAGCCTCACGGGCAATCTGAACGTGTGAAGGAATAAATGTCCATTAGTTAGAGTTAGAGAGAAGCCAGTTTTAGCTGCAGAGGTTAGTTTGTATGTCTTCATACCTGAGACCACACTGAGACCTGAAGCTAAATATCAGCGGTGGCCATGATGTCCTGTGACTGATGCTGTGCACTGCAGGTCCTCACACACACACACACATGCCAGCTGAGTGATACAATGACACAGAAAAAGCACAATGCAAATAACACAACGAACAAGCAGTTAGTGCCACGGGTTTGTTTATCCACCAAACAAGTAACTTAAAATGGGTATATTTCAAGTAAAAGTATTCATTTTTACTTTTGCTTATGATAAATAAGCAGAAAAATAAGACATATGTTGATATGCAAAATATTTGACTGTATTAATTTGGTAATGATCTGCAGTAAAATGTACTTTACTGTACATTTGTGTAGAAGTAGAAGTATAACATATCTATATAATAATGTGCATTATAGTATAAAGAATGATTAGTAGTTGTCTTTTCAGAAAAAAATAGCTAGATGTTTAAAATAAAAAAGTAAAACAAGGTTTAAAACTAAAAGTAAAACCAGTATATTTTTTACTCATTACTTAAGATAAGCCCAGAAAAAAACTTTCAATTTAGCAGAAATTGACCAAGAAAAATATCAGTGTGAAAGGTACTAAAAGATTTTAATGGCATTCTCAAATTTTCCCGAAGCCTTTGAAAGCATCATATTAGTTTTTTAACCCTACCAGCAGATCTGAGTGCATGTTGCTGCTACATTTCCATTACACACAGATTATAATGACTGCAACATTAGTGTCATCTTTCATTGCTGCTCTGAAAGATACACTGTGTGTCATGCATCTACACAGGTATGTTACCTGGTACAGTACTAATGCACTGGGACCAGGAAATGTGCTCTCACCATGTGCTGTGTGCGCACAGCCTCCAGAGGGTAGTCTCCCTTAGCGGTCTCACCACTCAGCATGATGCAGTCATTGCCGTCCAGCACAGCGTTGGCAACATCGCTGGCCTCAGCGCGGGTCGGGCGGGGCTTCTTGGTCATGCTCTCCAGCATCTGTTGAAACAGAAACAGTCTTGTAAAGTGTGCTTCTGTCAACACCAAACTCTGTCCTCTGCTGAATAACATTACTGACCTGTGTGGCACAGATGATTGGCTTGCCAATCCTGTTGCATCTGCCAGTCATCATCTTCTGGGCAATGAAGACCTTCTCTGTTGGGATTTCAATGCCCAGGTCACCGCGGGCAACCATGATGCCATCACTGGCCTCCAAGATCTCATCAAACCTGAGAAATACATGGAGAACAAACAAAAAAATGTTCATCGTGTGATGTTCAAGGTCAGGAAAATAAATATGTCAGATGGAATCAGTGACTAGTAAAGCTGTTGTTGCGGATGTCAACTGCAGCATCAATACAATGTCTTAATTCTTTAAACCATGTGGAACAAAACGTTCATCTCACTGCCCTTGGGAACAAATACAGTTTTATTTGAACATTTCCCTCAGGACAGCTCTGTGGATGCTGCACTTACCTGCGGACGCCCTCGTGGTTCTCCAGCTTGCTAATGATCTTGATGTCCTTGCCCTTCTCGCCCAGCACCTTCCTGACAGCATGAACGTCGGCGGCCTTGCGAATGAAAGAGGCGAAGACCATGTCAACACCCTGCTCCACACCAAACTGCAGGTCCTGAACGTCCTTCTCAGACACGGCGGGGAGGTCGACGGCAGCTCCAGGCAGGTTGACACCCTTCTTGCTGCCCAGCATACCGCCGTTCTCGATCTCGCACATCAAGTAGTCGCTACCTGTGGCCAGGCACAATAAGGTAGAGAAGCGCATTTCCACAGCTAAGCAGAAGAGAAAACCAAAGTGATGTAAAAAAAAAAAACACATTGGTTGTTTACTTACCAACTTCTTTGACCTTCAGGGAAATCAGACCGTCGTCAACAAAGATATGGCTTCCAATCTCCACGACTTTGGTGATGTTCTTGTAGTCGAGCCACAAGACTTTTTCATCACAGTTGTCCTTGTACTGGTCACTGAGTGTCAGCTTGATGGTTTGCCCCTTCTTCAACTCAACCTCAGCGGTGCCGCTCTGAAATGAATAGTTTGTTCATGGTCAGGCTCAACTCCGTGTCAGAATAATCAATCATTTTATATCAGACTGAGTACGCTAACAGGAACTTACACCCTTGATAAGTCCAGTCCTGATTTCTGGTCCCTTGGTGTCAAGAGCAATGGCGATTGGTCTGTAGTCCACAGACCCTTGTCCAAAGCTCTCAGCTGCGTCGCGGACATTCTTGATGGTCTCGGCGTGGTACTGTATGGTGCGAGGTGAGGTGACAGTGAAAAAATATAAATATATACAAAATCAAATATATATATATATATATATATATTATGAGTCCTGTGGATTTCACGCCGCTGGTTACAGAAGTGTGGAATGACAACAGCAACACGTTCTCGGACGTGACATTGTTTTTTTTAGTGAAGCAAAAATAGCTGCACACAAACCACCAGCTATTAATAAACCCTTTCCCAAACATCTGAGCTGTGGCTTTAAGGCAGAGTCAGTCTCCTACAAGTGTTCTGATGAGGCAGCCAACTTAAACAAAGCTGTGCTCTAAAAATGTTCAGCTAACAAGATACAAAAACCGTCGTAGGTCTGTGGAGCACCTTCACACCTACTGACTCACAGCTGTTGTCTTAGTTGTTCACTCTTGTAGATCATCTCCATCTAACTCTACACCTTCTCACTTTTACTTTTATCTGTGAATATTTCTTCTTCAGCAGTACCTTTACTAACCACCTTAACCTTTCTGGTCTGACCTTTGTCAGTATCAAATAATGCACCTCTTCATTTTGCTGGTAGCTTTCAATAAAACTAAGGTTATTTTCATGTCAAAAAGCAACAAAGAAAATAAAAAGCTACAGGAAGTAATGACCATGACGTGTGACGTTCATAACAAACACATTGCTGTGGCTTCTCTGTGTGCCTTCTGCTTGTCCTATTAATAACTGCACTAAAAACTGACACACCAATGAGACAGAGGTCAAGTTTGTAACTGATTATGTAGGAGGAAATCACTAGACTCTTCTTTTTCTGAAACTTTGACCAAGAACTCTTTTAATATTTGTATCACTGACATGCAGATATTTCCCCCCATGCTTTTTAATGCTACACTGCTGATCTAGGTTACAGTATAGTGTAGTACACTCATCCACCCAGTGTGTTCATACTACAGCTGATGGTGACAGTGAAAAAGGTCAGCATCAGAATTCTCAGAGACATGACTTTTACGTTTATGGGGTCAGTAGTATAAGGTCTTGGCCACGATGCAGTCGACCTCCCAAATCAAGCTTCAGCTGAGAGCCAGCAGTGGTGGGAGAGGGAACAAGCTCGCAGATCACATTACAATCAGCAGGCACTCTAAAGGGTAAACCCACGCTGACGAACTGGCAGAGGGCAAAGCTGCTGTTGTGGCAGCGTCCATTGTCCTCAAACTCTCAAAAATGTTGTGCTACTAGACTTGGCTAAAGAAATGAATGGTCATCTGGTGTCCAACAATCCCAAAAGTGTCCATGAAAGTTCTAACTGGTTCAAAGGGTAAATGGAGGTGTATACCCACCTCATGTGTGCCATGAGAGAAGTTCATTCTTGCAATGTTCATCCCAGACTTGATCATTTCCTTCAGTTTCTCCACAGACCTGCTGGCAGGTCCTGCATGGACAAATTGACAAGTGAATCAAATATAGGATTTGTTATAGGACAGGACATGCGCTGCATTAGTAATAGTATTTGGAAATGTCTCACCAATGGTGCAGACGATGCCAGTGTTGCGAGAGACAGCGGGTTCGGAGTCGATGTTGAGCAGACACATGTGCTCGATGAAAGTGTCGGCCATGGCAGCGTGGAGCTGCTGGGTCTGCATAATGGAAGAGCCGGCTTCCTTTGTCTTCATCATGGTTGGATCTGTGTTTGTGGGGAAATGTCCTGTGAAGACA